ATATCACCATTTCCAGTACTGACACTAAGAAAAGATTACTTAGTTCCATAGTTTTAGTGCTATGTGATGTGTTTTCCTATGATTCAGCTGTCAAATGGGATTGAACTCAAAATGCTTATCAGCACTTGAATTCAGAGGAAGAACTAGTGTGCCTTTCTTAAATGTAGTTAATGTTCTTTCGTTACTGTTGAAAGATATGCTGTAGAGGTGAAATCTCTCTCATTTGACAGATGTTTACTTCACAGTGGAGGGAAGATTTTCCCACAGTACGTGTTGGTATATGGGATGCTTGTAGAATCGGAGTCTCTGTTGCTGGAGAGTGCTGTTCAAGGAACAGAACCAACTCTTGGGTTTAATATAGCCCCTTTTATCAACCAGTTCAAGGTATGAAGTTGGTGGGTATCTTCCAGGCATGGTTCCAAAGCCTGCAGCTGTCTAGCTGTTCAATTTTGGTGTAAACTGCAAGAAAGCTGAAGAGCTGAAACTTTTTCATATTGTTGAAGTTATCAAGAGATGTTTATGTGACCAGACAGGGACCTTGAGATAAACTAAAAAGGGTAACATTTGTTTTAGAACTGGTGTGGGAGAGGTTTTGTCCAAGTAATGCAAGATGCAGTGTTACTGTACAAAAGAGTGACTGTGCTGTTACTATCTCCTTCATCACCTTGTATCCCAACAGTCACATTTCAAAAGGGATTAGAATGGAGTATTTAGCATTTTGACTGTCTCTTACAGGCATTACAGTAATTCCTAGAAATTTTTGTCTTATAATTGTCTTTGAACTTTCACTTTTTAATGGCTCTTGATGCCTGAAGTTATGATATACACTCTTAGGTACCTGTTCGTGTGTATTTGGATCTCTCTACATTACCGTGTCTACCCTTGAGCGAGCCAGCAGAGCTTTTAAGGCTGGATCTGATGAACCCTCTGTTGAACAGCTCCAGCAGAGAAGTGAAGGTGAGTTACGTATTCATAAAGTTCGAAGCACACGTAACTCTGCTGTTCTGTAGAGTTGCTCATTAATTGTACACCTTGGCTGAAAATACAGAATTTGCTTGTCTGCAGGTGGATTGAAGTGGTTTGAACTACCTTACATTCCTACTTCTTTGAAAAGGATGTAACTGATTAATATTTTAAATATTTTTTTTTAGGTACAAATTTCTAAGTCTGGCCGAGTCACCGCAATTCCCTTCTGGTATCACATACATCTGGATGAAGACCATAGCTTGAATACATCTGATGAGTCCTCACACTGGAAACAAGCTGCAGTTGTTCTCGATGAGCCCATCCAAGTTCAGGTTGGAGATGAACTTGTGCTTGATGTTCAACACCATAAAAGCAATATTAGCATTACAGTTAAACGGTGAAGAATGTCGTGTGTAAACTGATTCGTGCTTAATTACCTATGCATAAATTGACTGTTCATAACATCACTGATGTTAATTTATATTAAAGTTTATATGTTATCTACTGATCAAAAAGGCTATTTTGTTGCTTTAATAGTAGATACTTGGGTTCCGCTGATGGACTAAAGCTTGCGCTGTAAGGGGATCTTGCCGAGCAGTTGGGGAGGTATTGTTGTCACTGCAGCGAAAACCTGATTGCTAGCTATTGTGGTGACGACAACAGGGGGACAGACTTCTTATGTTAGTGTCAAGAAAAAAAGCATCCAGATGCCTGTACCAGAAGCAAACAGCTGTGGCTGTTGAGGATAGAGGCCTTGTTTCTCATCCTGTAGTTCTACTTCTCGGTTGTCAAAAGTGTCCTCCTTAAGTGCAGAGATGTTAGCCTCGCAGCAGGGCCTGTAACGCCATTCCAGCTGCAGTACCACAAGTTAGTGGTGCATGTAGACGTTACAAAAAGCTGTAAAGGAGTGCTGTTGAATAACTCAAGTTGGGTAATGGAAGGTAAAGCTAGTCAACCTCCTAGAATCCCTCAGAGAATCATTTCTGGTAATATATCGGCCTGAAATCTTCTCTGTATGAAAGTGGTTATCAAATATTACATCAGTCACCACAGTACTCCTACATCTCTTCTACAGCATTGCATTTTGGTGTAATGCAGGTAGCAAGTTCCTTCTATTAAATTTATATCCAAGTGGAAGACTAACAAAAGCTTCCAACTCAGCATTGATTCTGCCTCTGTAGAGATGTGAGGAAGACTGTTAGCAAGATACTTCTGTAGCAAAGTTTCTTTATAGTGTGCAGTCCGTTCAATGCAGCAGAGGCATTTCTGTGATCTTTCCTGAGCAGGAGCCTGTATAAAGAGCTGTCCACGAATAATTTTTCTAGAATCTCCCTGCATGCAGGATCCATGTGTACTCGTCCTTGGGTCAAAATGTTTTGAATAAACTGGGAGGGCCTAACTTCAGTGACTGTTAGGGCTGTGGTTGTCCCAGCCCGCAGCTGATCCTGCACCTGACAGAGTGCTGTCACAAAGCTCCTTACAGAGGCGTGGATGAAAGGTCTCCGATTTTCTTTTTTTCTCCAAAAGAGAGGTATTGGCTAAGACAGTTTTCTGAAGATAAAGTAACTGGATACCATGCTTTATCCAAGGGGTACAATGCATAGCAAACTCTAAGTAGCTTTTCATGCTATGTAGAAAACAGCTGTTCTTAAAAAAAAAAAAACCCACAACACAACCCCCCCCAAAAAAACCACAACAAAACAAACAACCCAACCCCTGCCACCCCAAACAAAACCCTGATCCTGAAAATCTAAGTTACTGTCTGGCACAACTCAACCCAGCAGGCGCAATTTTGTAGAGAAGTCTTTAGGTATCTCATGCTGAAAGACCTCCAATAAAAGCAAACCCATGAAATAATAGTGGTTAGGCATATTTATTAAGCTTTTTGGGAATTAAAGACAGCAAAATGAGTAAAAAATTAAGGACATAGTCTATCCTTACTTAATAAGACTAAGGGCTGAAAATGACCATTACTGAGTTTTCAAGCAGTGTGTTAAAAGTAAGGCAAGAGCAATCTTTAAGATTTCTGACTAAAGCTAGGAGATCAGGCATAAAACAATGGAGGAACAAATATAGTTAATATAAAGATGGACTATTTGCACGTGAATTTTTTTTATATAAATGTGATAGGTCATGCTATGGAATACTATTGTAGTAGTTCTCAAAGGACAGGGTAGGCATCATTGAAAGATTTCTTTTTATTTTGGAAATTCAGTAGGAATCTTTAACGAGAAGGCATGATCCTATAAGCTATTATAATGAAAAAATAATTTTTCTCCCATAAAAAACAAATGCAGCAATACTGTGCACATAGAATAACTGAGTAATAATAAAACAACTTAATAGCTTTCCAGAAGTGCTGTGAAAGAAGCAACCAAGACGCTTAACTAGCTGTTTTCCTATTAAAGTCCCCTTTCTGTACCTTACGTAAGTTTTACACCAAACAGGTGTAACTTCCAAGTATTAAAAAAAAATCGTTAATGGGAGGTCTATGAAAAGCTAGAGCACAGTAGCTACGTAGCTTCCAGCAACTCTGATCCTTCAGATATTATTTCTACCCCTGCACCTTTTCACCTGTATACATGGAGAAAATCAGATTATTTCTAAAATGGCTACCATAGGCAGTGAAGTCCCCAGGTGTTGTGAGCTTCTACAAGTTGTTTCCTTTTTGAACGTAGCTGTTACATGGATAAAGAGATACCTGGAGTCAAGGACAAATAAGTAGATTCTAATTCTTCATAAGCTCAAACAGGTATTCTCTTTTCAGTACAAGCCTTAAAATATTGGTGGCACAAACTCTTGTACTGGTTATACTTAAGATCCCCTTCTTCCATGAAGAGGAGAGTTGCATTCATGTCAGTCAGTCACACTCTTGAATTACTGTAGCAGTAAATAAAACTGAAAGAAGGCGTACAGTTTAAATAAAATCTTTAATTGCTTATTTACAATAAAGGCAATGACTTGGCAAATTGAAAATTATGATTTGCACTTTCCCACTAACTTCAGATACAGTAAGTACATAGTCAACTATAAAATATGCAGCCTAGTGAGTAAGGCGCAGTATTTACATCACACTAGTACTGCAAAAAAAAAAAGCACTTAAGATGAATTTACTGTGACAGACAGAAGTTAAACATTTATCCTGTAAATGCTAACAATGCTGGAAAAGAAACTTCAGATGTCACTGCAAAGGTCAGTGCTCTAGGGTTTTTTTTTGCCAGATTGCAAACATGCAATAGTAGTAAAAATCTGGTAATGGGATAAAAACAATACCCCTCCGATTTTGTCAGTTTTTGCAAAATAACAGTTTGATACCAGTGTAGTTGTTCTAGGTCTGAAATCTAATGCTAGTAACTTCAGTATTAGACTAGCTGCTTAGTTTTGCCTTAGCAAAGGTCTTTTCTGGGGTGGTGGGGGTAAAAATCAACTATTACATTTGAGTCTAGGCTATACTAGAAGCGTAATACAATAATCACACACACAAATTTATGAATACAAATTACTACAGACACGTTGTCAAGATATCCTGCTTTAACCGCTTAAAAAAAAACCCTTAAGTGTTAAAGAATTTATTGCAGCCCAAAATAAAGAAATCAGTTTTGTTTTCTAGTTTCTTTTTGACATCCTCTATTCCCCCCTCCATGTATTTTAAGGTAGTAACCATTGTTATTCTTATTGTAGAAGGACAGGAAAAAAGTAGTCAAGTGTAAGGTATTAATCCAAACCCCGTCCTCCTGGCTGTCTCTTCTGAATGTAAAAGACTTAAAAATTATGAGCTACAAGGACAACAGATACACCAACTATTGTTCTGGGTGTGGAATTTTATAGTGAGGCTTGGAGGGAATGCTTTCTTTTTATAGATTCTTTATGGATGCTCTGTAATAATTATCTTCATGAAGGGGTTTTATTCAGTTATGCAGGAAAAGGAAGTGGCATCTGTACAGAAGTTACCATCACATCCACAACCCATTCAGCATTGGGGTATGGAAGTTACCATCATTAAGAGGACAACCACCAAAGCTAATACAAACACTTTTTTGCTACTGCCCTTCTTAATTACATTCATTTTCCCATTGCTAGTAGTACTTGCACTTTGTCTTTAGAACAGCAGAGTATTTTTTCAAATATTTCTTTCCTATTAATAAAAGTCAGTATAACCTTGACATGACGTGTAGGTGTTTAGCAGTTTAAGGAGTTGATTCTTAAATTTATGCAGAAACCTTTACAGTGTGCGTGTTTTATATCCATGGGGTCCTCACAGATACTCACATCCATTATAGATTTGGAATTCAGATGCCAGTTACAGCCATATCCTCTTCCCATCTGCACAGGAGCTTTTCCAAACCTTTCAGCTTTCATCACTAACCGTACCTGTTAACATATGTGGCAAGTATATAACAGACTCCTCGACACATTCGAAGAAAAGGTGAGTCTAACTTTTATCCAAAGCTTTCTCTGACAAATTGTGCTCGAGTTCGGGTGACTCCTCAGCGTCTCGAATAGCAGAAGTGTTATAAACACCATCAACTGCAGGGGCTGTCGTTGGTGTTGTGAGAGGTGTCACAGTGTGTCCAAACCCCTGATAATGACCCATGGGTGAAGATGGCATTGAAGAAGCATCAGAAATTGGGTCTTGAGTAGATGAAGACAGTAAACTTGTGTGCTCGTTTTGTTCGTGATCTTCGGCAAAAAACATTTTCCTTGGCTGGCCCAAAACTGTCCTTCCTAGAATTACGCCAAACGAAAATACTTTTTAATACTTCCAGCACTATACCAAGGCCTTTGAACACATCAACTCTAAAACAGGCATGTTAAATTAGAAAATGAGTCTTTGTTTTATAACAGTTTTACATGGGCATTGTTACCTTTAATAAATAAAGGGATGTCTTTCCATCCAAAAAACCCAAAACCAAACCAAAATGGGCATCCCTCTCTTCTACCTAGCACACTGAAACTTACCCTAAGATCCATCTACTTAAAAGAAAAATCAGAAAACAGCCTCTAAATCAGTCAGGAGTACTGGAAAGACCAAAGTGCCAGATAAATCATTAAATCCTCTAGAGATGCAGCTGCCACTAATTTGGTATGGAATATTCTCAGGGTGCTACAGAGATGGATAATAGCATCAAGTGAAGCTGGAAATACACGGGCTGTTAACACACCATGCAAACCTGTCTGTTACTTACCAACATTTCTAACCTGTTCTGATATATCTGCCCTTATATCAGAAATATCCCACATTGCAAGAAAAGAGTCGAAGCATGACCCTTCTTCAGCTTCTTGAACATAAGGTTTATAGGAAAAACTGTAGTGATGCGCAATAGCAGCCAGGAACATCTCAACACAAATGATAAAATCCTGCAATGAGAGAGAGAGTGACTTAGTCATTCATAACTGGAGGCAAATAGTTTCTGGGTTTCTTCTACAACTGGAAGACTGCAATTGCCTGGGGATACTGGCATCAGCTACTTTTCCACCAGAGGCAGGATATTGGCATGCTTCAGAGCGCCACATGCACTACATACGTATTGGAATCAGTCCTCGCCTGATGGACTGACTTGCTGGAAGCAGATACTCAACAAGCAGCAGCTCTACCATGAATTCTTGCAAGAAGCAGCACAAGGATATCCAACAGAAGGTATTTAACTGGGGCACATTTCCTTCTGCCTGACACACGGATACACAAGTGTTGAGCACAGAACTCACTTGGGGTGACTGCCTGGAACTTAGGCCAACTTATCATAAACTCAGTACTAAGGCCAACTTATAAACTCAGCCCATGTTAATTGAAGTATGACAGTGTTTGCTTGAGATCAGCTATCTCATCTTACATAGAGCAATTCCTCCTAAGAAGTAATTGTCTGCTCCTACCTGTAGGCCTGTAGCCACAGCTTCCACACTTTGCCACTCCCAGGTGTGTTTCTCAGAAATAACACCAACTTTCACCAACAATGCAATAAGCACAGCTTGCCTATAAAGATTATTTTTTATTATTATTCTTGTAACAGTAGTGCCAAAAAGCCTGCAAACAATTCTGGTAAACAAGGCCTGTTCATATGTGTGCACGGGTATGTACATAGGAAGAAACTTACAAAAAACTTACTGTTTATATATTTAGATTTTAAAAGGAGGAAAACAGACTTAAAAAGAGATGTCATTCATCCACTGTCCTAAAGACCAACAGGGAACACAACCAAAGAAGAGTTTGTTGTTCCAGTTAGTTATTAGAACAAGTTGCTTGTTGCTTCTCTTTCAGGGAATTACTGCGGCCCACAGAGTAACGTTCAGGTAGTCAAATGCACTCACTCGTTAGCAAGTAAGTGTGAGCAATGCTTGTTTTGAAAAAGTTAAAGAAATAACTGCAGGTGAAGATTCTAAAATAAATTACGTTTTTGAGAATCACCTTACAAAACAGCAAGTCTAAAAATTAATCTCAAGTGAACAAGACTGCTCTGTCCAATGTACTAGTGCCCTTTTCCCCTTGCAGCACCTCACTAAGACGATGGGTAGATTTTTTGAAGCATCTAACCCCAGTAACAAATCCAGCCTTTTAGCTCTTTTATGATCCACCCTGAGAGCAAGATGTAATGAGTAAATAATTCACTTACCAGAAAGAAACAAAAACGACCATCTTCACACAAAGAAACTTGCCAACAGGTTGGATGGGGTTCAGTTCTTCACGTAGTACTTTATAAAACAGCACCAGACAATACATAGCAAACTAACAAGGAAAAGAAAATTAAGAAAAAAATTCAAATCCTTGGGGGTTTTTGTGAGGAGTTGTTTTACAGCAACCTCTCCAGTTAAAACAATGTATCACAGTACAATACAAACGTTAAAAAGCTATCTATTTTAGAAAAGAGGCTCTGGATTTATGGAATCTTTGCCTTACTAGTTTAAAGCAGACTTTGTTTTTTTGCCTGAAATTGTATTTCTGAAATGCACAGTGTTGGCAGAAGAGACTGAGGTCATCTATTGACACACTAAAGCAAAGCACAGGAAGGTCCCATAAAATCTCTTCAATGCCAAGCACATCTCTAGGGAAAATGGCATAAAAAGCACATGTTCTTTCAGGCTTCCCTTAAGAACACCTCAAATATTGCCTCTTTATGAGAGATGAAGCAATGAAAGCAATGTTCACTGCAAATCTGAACAAGTTTCTTATTAATGACAACGGCAAGCAACCAAACTGATGTATAGCCATAAGGAACTGATCTCCCTTTTTCATTTCCCCCTTCTTCTCCTAGCCTCTTACTACTAAGTTTCTTTAAGCAATCCCATCAACCAGGACACGTAGAAGTATGTGCTGCTGCTGGGGCTGTTGTCAGAGCAGGAAGCACTTAAAGCTCCTTCCATAACAGTCACCCACCAAGCACAGGGGTGGCAGTAGGAGGAGGACGCCCCTTCCAGATGGGACATCCTGGTGTTCAGGCTCCTGCTGCTGCTACCGAGAGAAGTAAGAAGGTTGGAGGCTAGAAGGCTAAGCAGCAAGGAGCCACAGCTGCTGCTCTCTCCTCTTGCAATAGCTCATGTGTAATGTGCCCTGAGCGAAACAGAAAATGATTCCTCTGCATTCCCATCAAGCCACTTAAATGCAATCCCTGACCTCCAAAATGAAACTTTCAAGTCCAGGGGCTGACATCCTACCCTTACCCTGACATCATCTGTCAGCTGAACCAACAAGACAAGGTATTAGGCAGGGCAGAATCTCAGCACTGCATGCACCGTTTCCATTTTTTCCAGTCAATGTCATTACCACCAGCTTTGTAACACAGTAATTTTAACATAGCCACTGCTGAGTCTTTGTGTGTGTGCTGGGAGGAAGCTCCGGGGTGAGTGAAGTTACCTGTTCTGCAGAGGAGCAAGTCTGCAGCTGTAACATGCCTGGGCCATACCATTTCACCCATCAAATAGTTTCCGGTAGAGAGGTGGGACACTGTATTACTTTATGGAGCTTTGTAGTAAAAATAATAAAAAGTTTTAGATTATCTGTTTTCCTAGTATTTTGCATATATAGTATTTAACAGATAGTAACTTTGACTTACAGTGGGAAATATTCTACCCGTAAGAACTACAGCCTAATATTAACACAATTACTGTCCATAGTTCACACAGAAGATTCACGTAACACTAATACGATGATTAAAAGAGCAGAAAGATGCACTCTTGATACTCACTAGCTGTGACATGTTGTTAAGTATAACCAAGTAAGTCCAAGCATTGTTGAAGCTGAAGTTTCCTTCATCGTACACTCCCACTAGTTCACAAATTCTGAAAGAATTTTTAGAGTTAATCACTATGTAGTAAAAGATCGTTTTGATGAAGTGCTAAATCTCCATTACATTGATGAACTGTTAGAATCCAAAATCTCTTTTGGTACTCAAATATGGGCATTGGGGGTCTGCACAAGAATCAGTTTCCAACAGCATATGGCACAGGAAGTTTGTATTGTATTTTCCATAGAAGAAGCAGTGTTTGAATGCAAGGTTAACAATTAAATATCATTTTTTATGGCTAATATACATATTTATATGGATATTCTTTGTGAGTAGCAACTTTTTCCACAGTCCCACAGAATTAACAGTAATAACCATCAATACAAAGTTCATGAAATTAAGCTTTCAGCGTCAACATGCGTAACTGCCTGCTGTTCCTTTACAACAACAGGTTCTATGATATGTATGAAGGCACAGTCAGACTTGTCACAGGTAACTTTTTAATTTTGTTAAACCTTGCCTGAAACCTGACTTTAAAAATACCCAATTGTTGAAGCCAATGAGAAAAGGAAGAAGGAGGAAGAAAAAAAAGAGACTCTAAAAATTAAGAGATCATAAAAGTGTCTTTCCCACATAAACAGTACTTCACATTCTCTCCCACTGCTTTCAGCAGCAGGCATTAAGTATTTATTATTTCAATTCTGCAAATAGTCGCTTGCTGTAGAGAAGTCATAAAGAAAGCATAGGTTGATTCAAATTCCTTGGACCCACTCAGCATTTAACACAACAAGTCTGCTTTCAAATTGCCTTGACTCAATACAAAGGGCATGAAAATCCTTTCCAGTGTAACTCAAAATTACGTCCTGAGGATCAATATTAATTATTTATGCGTGTACTTACAAAGCAATAATGGTAGTAAATGGTCTGACAACAGTGTACTGCAAAACACCCAGTTTACATCTAAATAACAAAACTCTGCAAGAGAAACACAAAATTCATTGTACAAGAACTTAAAAGACAATTCACTTAACGGAAGTTTCCTATTCTCGGCAGTTTCACTAAACTAAATTTTTATTTCATAGTAATTTCAATTTCTGCTTCCAGGACTTCAGATGCTACAGTATATAGTGTGTATATATGCAATACACAAAAGACCTAGACTTTTATAGATACATAACTGGAAATACTCAATGACTCACTTCTTTTAGCCATGGAAAGTTTCTGGCTAGGCTAAACAAAGAGAATGCAATTTTTGCTGTGTTTGATGATGTTTAAGAATGACTTACATTCACAATTTGTCTTTAACATTTTAAACAGCTTTAACAAAATCTCTTAAGAGATGCTATATATGATAGCAAAGGAAGCAAATTCAAGGACACCTTTTTCCAATGTTTTTGAAAAATAAGGAAGTTTTCTTCAGCACCACCTGAGTCAATGCATGTTAGTAACTAAGTGTGATTTATAGGATGTTTTACTGCTGCTCTCAGTAGGGGTTCACAGTTGATAAACTGTGTGCAAACCATAAACTGCCTCTGCCAAGCAACAACAGTTACACTACTAAATATGAAAACAAAATGTTTGTATCTGATTACACAGCTTAAAACTTTAAGATGTCATCATATACTCACTCTCCCATAGCCCACGACGGACAACAACATAGAGGCGGCAGATGTCTCTGCTGATCTTTTGCTTCTATTATTAATACGAGGTTTGGATACCGGTTGGTTAGATAATTTGAAAGAAAAACCATAAAATTATAGATGACATAAGCTTCATAGCATTCTCGACATGTATCCACATATATTGCAATGTTGGGGTATTTCAAAGCTATCCACTGCAAGAAGAGAGGTACACAAAAGGTTACATGCGAGAAAGACAAAAGTGATTCCAATGACAACACTGGCTGGCTAGTTCAGCAAGCATTACTTCGTTAGACAGCAGGCCCTAATTAAATGAGGCTTGAAGCATTTGGCGAACAAGAGTGTGATGCTACAGCTAACATTCTGTATAAAAATAATGTTCCAAATAACGTTCTGTAAAAATACAAGTTGAACTTCAGATTGCATCTCTGCTGCTTCAAGTGGAACCATGCTTAAAGCACTGCGCTTAAAGCGCTGCGCAAGAGATGCTCTGTATCACAATTCAGTCTTTAATTTAAAAGTAACTAAGGAGACAGTTCCCTAGACACAACCTACCCCTGACAGAACTGTTTCCTAACTTCACATATTCATTGTCAATATGGGTTTGAGAACTAAGTTTTTAGTCCATCAGTATAAAGTTCTTTTCTTCTGGTATCTACTATGTAACTGTTTGTTCTGGCATGTTTACAAAATAAATAACCAAGCAGCAGATTAGCCTTAAAGTGGTAGTCATCCCTCCAAACCAGAATTTCAGACAGAAAAGTGTTTTTTTTGCAAAACTGTGATTATGGATCAGCTGACACAGCTTTCAGTTTTTAAGCTGAGTATCACACTGCTGTCGCACTGTTCAGTGCGACCTATCCTACTGGCTTTATTGGTTTTGGTTGGGTTTCTTTGGTGGGGGGAGAGGAGTTAGAGGCAGGTCTTTTGAGTTAACTTTGCTTCCCTGGGTCCTAGGTTGTAGTAGGGCAAATTTTGTGCCTTCTCAGACCTTCTTATTAGAACTACAGGAATATGCTTCACATCCTCATCACAGTTAACAAATACTAGAGACGACAGATGCTGCAACACCTTTATGGAAGATGTAATACTGCATCTAGTAAACTGAGAATACAGTATTTGAATCTAAGAGAACTTTATGTTCAGCTCAGATTAAGTACCATGTATGCAGCAAAGGCCACAAGATCCAGGAGTCTGGGGAAAGATTTCAGGATGTCAGAAGTGTCCCTTAATGCCTGGCTAGAGCTCATTTAATTACCAGGTAATTTTCTTCCAAAGGAAAATTCTGTACTTGAAATTGAAATATCAGCCTGAGGCAGCTGATATTCCCCACAGGGAACAGATACTGTTGTTTTCTTCCCTGTTCTCCTTCACTCTCAGATGCTCTAAATCCGTCTTTTCAAGAAAAAAAAAAAAAAAAAAAAAAAAAAAGGAAAACATACATAAGGGTGACAATTCAAAACATGCCAGAGATGAGAGAAAAATCAAAGGAAAAGTTCCTGGAAAGCTGTCTTTTAGGGGGAAACAGAAGTATTTGCAATGTCAAGAGGTGATGAAAAGATGTAAACGCACATCCTGTGCAGTCCACAGATTTAGTATGTTGCTTAGCTCTGACTGAAATCATCTCCACAGGTGACATATTTACATGAACCATATTTGGTATGACCAATAGAATCTTCACTTCAAAGTATTCAGAAGTGGATTTTTTGTGGGATCTTGCCCTTTGCCCCCTGAAGCAAAAAGTAAGAATTTTATCACTAAGCATAACTCGGGAAAGAAAGGCAAGGCACTGAACTCTGAGACAGTACATGGATCAGCCTTGTTTCCAGTTCAGCTGTTACTGAAGATGGAAGGACCAAAAGCAAGCTAGCAAGCTCTTGTACCCCTTCCCACATCTGTTGTAAAGGATACTCAAGGACAGGGTTAAAAGGGTTTGCAAAAGCGATCCCACAAGCTCCACAAGAAGGATGTAGTATCTCTAGAATGACGCTTCTGACGTACTCCATAAACACGAATGCCCAGAAGTTTCTAGGACTACGACTCTCCATGCAGCACACTTTCTGCTAACTGTGACACTGTTTTCCCTCACTCCCACAGCAAACAGAATTTCATTGAGCTGTTAACAGGAAGAGATCACTTACACTGTCTAAACTGTAAATCGGCACCATCCATAGAATCCTGTTACAATAACAAAAGAACATTTAATATTACTAGAAGTATTTTTAGTCTGAATTAAATTCAACATTTGTAACACAGGTAAAATGTGAAATGTTACCTTATTATTGGTTTCTGTAATTCAGGTTGAGTATAATGGACTAAGTGTTGTAGTATTCCCCAGAGAGATATTGGTATAGTCATTAGTAGAAATATCCCAGCGATAAACCATGCCTTGGTATGAATTCCAACCTTGCAAAGCAAAAGAAGAATGCAAGATCAAAGTTTCAGTATTAATACTTTAACATTTTACCAGTACAGCAAGAAAAACAATTTGTCTTTCTTTTTTTTTTTTACTGTGAATAAAAGATTTAAGGTGGACATTAAGTACATACCCCAATACTAAGTTTGGGTTTTCTAACTCTCCTTTTCAAATACACAAAATCCCCAAGTCTCCCTTACAATCTGTTGATGTGGCTGAGAGTAAAACTTAAAAACTCAAAAGAAGAGAAATCTTGCAGAACCAAACAAAAACATGACCAATAAACACAAAACATTAATGCTTGCTACCTTGCTTTAGGTCTAGAACTTGTCTCAGTTCAGTGCTTCATTATAAAGTTTCTAAAAGCTCATGGATTTAAATTAGTATTAGCTTTAAAATGAAGGTCCAACCAGTAATCAATTTCAACTAGTTTCATTTAACAATCTGAAATAGATAAGCACATATATATAAATATATATCGTCTGCTAAAACACAGGGCTGTGATTTCAAACCAATGCTCACTGAAAACCAATTACATTAATCCTGAGCACCAACAACTGAGAAACACAGCAAACTCTCCTCCAACAGTTCTTGTTGAGGCTTTCTTCTCCAATCCCCTGCTGTACATCAACATCCCATGTCTTCTGTTGCTTTCCAGTTCAAAGATCGCCACTGATTAGTTTCTCTATCAGCATCAGACTTCACAATTTTGAAATTTCAGATACCACTTTGACATAAACATCCATTATGCTGAAGATACGAAGGCATCAGAATAGTGTTTCAAAATCAGAAATTTAAAATACACTCCAAACAGATTTTACTGTCATTAAGTGCTTAAAATTAGACCATGAAAAAGCTTACCTCCAGTGGAACAAGCCTGTATTGAACTGGATAACATATATTTTAAGGTTAACATTTTACTTTGTTATAAAAGCTCTGCTCTTACACGTGTGTGCAAGTCGTACCACCAGCACGAAAGAGAAGCTTCTCCATCTCAATTCTCCCCGACCTGCCAGAATTATCTGAAATACCAGCTGATGAATGCCAGTATTGCTACTCAGTGCCAAAACATAAGCTCCGGGCAGGGCAGCGGCAGGGCTCCAGCCGTGCTCCTGTAGGGACCGACTCCAATTTCTCCAGCATCGTATCAACTGTTCAAACACCAACTGTGATTGAACCGGAAGGAGAAACAAATCCTGTCCCGGACCATCTCGCTTCGTTTGCGCGTTACCAGCACCACAAACGCGCACGGTGGCACCGCGGAACCTCTCCAGCTGCTCCCTCCCCCCCACCTC